TCCATATGACTTTGTGAGTTTGACCCAAATGAAAATTGGAAAAGAATTAAAGATATAATAAAGGAATCGGCTGAAAATTTTCTTGGATATGTAAATGGTACTAGAATAAAAAAAACCTTGAATTACTCAAGAAATGATTGAGAAAATGGATGAAAGAAGAAATTGGAAAAATATAAATAATGAAAAAGGAAGAATGATGTACAAGAAGCTAAATAATGAATTGAGGCGTGAAACTGGAAAAGCTAGAGAAGCTTGGTTAAGTAAGGAATGTGAGGAAATCGAAGAACTGAACAAAAAAGGCAGCTATGATCTATCATACAAAAAAGTCAAAGAACTAACAAATGATCACACCCACCAAATTCTGAGTATTGAAGACAAAGATGGAAAAGCACTTTAAACCCCAACTGATATAATGAGCCATTGGAAAGAATATATTGGAGATCTCTATGTAGAGAACACCAAACCTAGAGTTAAAATTGGAAAAATCTTCTCAAATAGCTAATGATGAAAGAAGACCTATTATCATGAAAGATGAAGTTGGATTGGCAATTAAAGAATTGAAAAACAAAAAGTCAGAAAGAATAGATGGAATACCAGCTGAATTTCTAAAAGGGTTAGGCAAGGAAGGAATCGAGAAAATAACAGACTTAGGCAATCTCATATATATAAAACAGGAGAATGGCATGAAGACTTTGCTCAAAGTATTTTAATACCTATATCAAAGAAAGCAAAAGCTAAAAAGTTTAGTGATTTTAGAACAATTACTTTAATTTCACATGCCTCAAAAATCCTTCTTAAAATCATTAACAGAAGACTCTACAACAAGGCTGAAACATTTCTATGTGAAGAACAATTTGGATTCAGAAAAGGAACAAGGGATGCTATTGGCCTCTTGAGAACAATCTGTGAAAGAAACATTGAGGTTAATAAGGATATGTATATTGGCTTTATTGACATGGAAAAGGCTTTTGATATGATTAACCGGACAAAGCTAATGGAAATCTTAAGAAAAATAGGAACAGATTGGAGAGATAGAAGACTCATTGCTTCACTTTATATGAATCGATCTGCCATTATCCGAACAAAAACTGAAGAAAGCAAACCATGCAGTATTGGAAAAGGAGTCAGGCAAGGGTGTACACTTTCACCTACTCTTTTTAACATTTATCTTGAGGAATTAATGAATGAAGCCATAAGTGAGGACAGCCTCGGAATTAAAATTGGAGGCCAATTAATACAAAGTATTAGGTTTGCAGATGATATTGCTTTACTTGCACCAAATGAACAAACTCTACAATGTTTGGTAACAAAACTCAACAAAACTTGCAAAAAATTTGGAATGAAAATTAACATAGCTAAAACAAAAGTGATGAAAGTTGGAAGGCTAATTAGCAAAGATTTGAAAATCCTAATTGATGGAAACAAAATAGAGCAAGTTCAACATTTTAGGTATCTTGGCAGCATTATTCAGGGAGATGGCAGATGTGAAAAAGAAATCAAAGAACGAATCAGGGCTGGAAAAATGGCTTTTTATAAGAAGAAGAACCTTCTTATTGGAAAAATGAACCAAACACTTAAAAAGAAGTTAATAAAATGCTTTTCCTGGAGCATAACTTTATATGGAGCAGAGACTTGGACCTTAAGGAAAAAGGAAACAAACTACCTTGAAGCATATGAAATGTGGTTATGGCGAAGAATGGAGAAAATCAAGTGGACAGAAAAGGTTAAGAATGAAGATGTTTTAAATTTGGTCCAGGAACAGAGATCTCTTTTAAAAACAATACAAAGAAGAAAAAATAACTGGCTAGGTCATATATTGCGAGGAGAAGGATTAATGCGAGTGGCATTAGAAGGAAAAATTGATGCAAGGAAACAAAGAGGAAGAAAAAGAAAAGTATTGATAGATGATGTTTTACTAGGCAAAACTTATAAAGAAATAAAAGAGGAAGCCCGAAATAGAGAATGTTGGAGAAGGAGAATTCTATAATTTGACTGCTTTCCACGGACCTGTCCTAGGACAGAACACCCATGAATGAATGAATATATATATATCTATACTTTCCCTCTGTAGAGGGAAAGTATGGCAAATGGTGAAAAAAAATAACCCCTCCAGATTTTTACTTTCTTGGACTTGGAAACCTACAACATCAAGAAATGCAAAAAAATTTGAGGGTTTCTTCTGTATGTATGGATATTAGTGTGGGGAGAACGGCATGATTTTGTCCACCCTCTTTGAAGCTTAACTCCGGTGCTTTTTGTTGAAATTTTCTGAAATTTTGCAGGGAGGTTTGTTTATTAGGGGGTTGATACTATTAAATTTTGGTGGTCAAGGAGGTGGAAGATAAAGAGGGTCATGTGTATCTCCAGTAGAGTCAGACTTAATGATGATTTTACTTGTCATTAAGCATTCACAATTTTTTTTATAAAACCCATCCTTACCCTCAAAATTGAGCTATCTGGCATTTTGTAATAGTTAAAAATATAAAAAGTTTTTAAAAATAAAATATGATAACAAATGGCATCATCAAACATTGCCGGGAAATTAAGCAACTGGCTGCTGGATTTTTTTTCTTTTCACATGAAATCCAACATAAAGCAGAATACAACTCTATTTCAATAATAATTTCTATAAAGGAGAGGGAGAAAAAATTAAATTGTCGCAAACTAGATTAAAGTGTTTGTATTGCAAATGATGATATAATTTTGTAGAAAAAAAAGAATAAAATGCAAGATGGTATATATGCTATTTGACAGATTCAAAGGAGAACTTTACCTAATGTTATTTTCCAATGGTTCATCTACCTGATGTAATAAACCAATTTTTCTCCCGTTTTATTATATAAAGCAATATAATTCTTTGTATAGTACCATATTTATTTAAATCTCATATTATGAATAATTAGTCAAATAAATAAATAAATTCATTCTGAAACACAAAGAAATAAATTTTTTTTTTTTTAAATTTCATCATCAAATAAACTGTCAAATAGAAATTTAATCTTTCACGTTTTGGAAACGCCAAATCCTATTAACAATATTTATCTATTTTTTAATTATTCTTCATTTGTTTTTAGTTCTTTTAAGAAGTTATATGGATTTTAAAACAGGATTAAACTGAAGAATCAAAAGTTACATTCATACATCATCTTACCAATAAAATTAGGAATAATATTCAGTTACAGACTAATCTGGTTTTTCCCATTTTTTTTATTTTTAGAAAAAGCTACATCATGCAGACAAACTATAATACTCTTAGGAAATAACAGTTGCAATTCAAGTTTAACAATTTAATAGCCAAATAGTCATATTAAACCATTTAAAAATCGTTTATATTAGAAATTAATTTCTTAAAATATCCAAAAGCTCACTATTTTATAATATACATTTAAATGCGATTTTACGAAAAATTTTATTGAAATATTTTTAAACTCTTTTTTTTTATTATAAATAACTGCTTAATTAATTTTTATAATAGAAAAATGTTGTTTATTAACACTAACTAAAAATATATTCTTTATCTAAAGTGTCTCATTAATGAGAAATTACTTGTTGCTGTCAAATTTCCGTTATTACCGAAAAGTCACGTGCTTATGTTAACAGAAAAAACGATGATTTTAAATCATTCATATTTAGCTTTTAGGTGTATAATTTCCATTAATTGTTCCATCAATTTTGTTTTAATTTCAGATTTAGATCAAATAAACCTGTTTTAACAAGAAAATGAAAACAAAAACGGAGTGTTTTCTATATCCTTTGAACCTTTTCAACGGCTAGCTATCAAAGATGAGTCATACGCGCTTTAAGGTCATCGGATTGCTTAATGAGTAGGGACCCCCGAACCAAAACGCATATAAACACGTTAATTTTATAAATTTTGAAGACAATAAATTATTTTTTGAAACTTATAAAAAGATTCAAAGCTCAAATTCTACTCGAAAAATCGTTTCACAAATTATGCGATCCATTGATGCTTCTTAACTTCTTAGTTATACAAAAGTAAAATAACTAATATATATATATTTTTATAAAAAAACAAGGAACAGGAAAAGTTGTATTTTTTTACTCCAGATGTTATATCCGGGATATGACTGCGCCCCTTAAAAACTTTGTCGGTATATACACGTGGTTATTTATATATAAAAACAGGAAAGAAAAGATAAATAGACGACTTTGACAGTTCTCACTCTTTAAAAACAAAATAAAACAACTAAAAATTTGAGACTGTTTTTACATAGTAAACAATTTAGAGACGATTAACACTAAACTTTTATCATAGTAGTTCTTCCAGTTTTTTTAGAACTGTTAATTAAGAGCCATACATCTAAAAATATCTACGATTTCCGAGGATGATGCAATAACCGGGTTCTTTCAACTCTGTGACGAAGGTGGTTTCCCGAATTTTTTTGTACATCGAAACCAGTTTATTAACAGATAAACGTTTGTTTATTCTTATATCGGCATGATGTCATTCGCGGGAAAAATTATTGATAAAAAATTGATAAATCCCAGAAAAATTATTTACACAAGTTGATGAATCATGTCATTATAACCAAAGTAGAACTCGATTTTCGGCGAGAGGAGAAAATATGCAACGATTATTAACTACATAAACGATAAGCTGTTTTGAATCAATTAATGATTGAAGTTATTTGTATTATTCACTAAAAATATTTTCGAAAATATACTTTCTAATAAAAGCTTAATATAAAATTAAATTTGCTTCACTAAATATATTAAACGGTATATTTGTTACGTCGATAGATATAATTTAAGGATTTAAAAATTTTGGAAGAAAAAAAATTTTGATTTTCATCACGTCAAATTCTTACGAAGTGCAAAGAATTGTATAATTTACGAAAAATCAAAATGGGATCTGAACAGTACGTAGGATTTTTGCTGATTGTTGACAGGATTAAAGTCATTTGTACAGAGTAAATAGACTGATAAATGAAACGCTTCTTATGAGAAAATTCTAAAATTTAAAACAAATTTAAACTCACCTAACACTTAGATCGTTTTCGAAGGATGATCCGCAATCAGCTTGGTCGCCATCAGCTTGAAGCAAGGGTTCCACGTTGCTTCTATAACGGGAAGGAATGTTTGCGCTAATTTGCAAATATTGATTTTGAAGTCCTTCTTGCTGGACTTGACTCGTTACAAAATCCTGAAAGAGCATGTGTCCTTCTGCCAGTGTTTCTTCTTCGGAAGGAGAAGGAGTGAGAATTGGCAGTGGCAAGTGCCTTCCGAAGTTAAGTGTCAGGCCGGAACGAGATGCTCTGTTACGGGGAACACTGCGAGCACAGTACATATTCCCTTCGTTTTCTTGTTCGTCCTCACAAGAAACAGTATCTGGTATGGCCATTTCTAATTTCCAAGTAAAACGACTAAAAAGAAGTTAAAATAATATTTCATTGTTTCTTTTATGAAATACATGCTATTATTTAAATATTTTAAAAATTATTTATTGAACTACATTCTAATAATTTTTGTTATTAAAAAATACATTTTCAAGAGTAAAGAAACTGAATCAAAAATTTAAAATTTAATTTAAAAAAATCAAAGATAGTATATAAATTTTTTTGGAAATAATACAGTAAAACTCCAATTATCCGAATTGCCTTCCGATTTTGTTAAAAATAAATAGGCATGTATGTATATATATATATATACCGTATATACATAAAAAGTACATTTTTTTAAATAAATGTAGAAAATAAATTACATTCGTTTGTAGGTACTATATACTTATTTACACATAATTACACAAGTACATAACGAGGTGTTTGGATAGAAAAATAAATGACTATTTTAAGCAAAAACTCAATTATCCGGATATGCGGAATATCCGGACGGTCCGAATCCCATTAATTCGAATAATTGGTGTTTTACTGCAGGCTAATGATTAGTAAACTCTTCTAAAAGAAAAACTACGATGAGATTATCATACTTAACTTCAATTTGATACTTCAGTAGAATACGTGAATTATTTTTAAATTTCTCCCATATTCAATTTAAAAAGCTGTATGCATTTGAGGCATTTTCTTTCGTTTCGTACAGAAAGTAGTTTCCCTTTACTTCAATTTGGCATCATTTCTTAAGAGGCTGTTATAAACGTTACGGAAATCCTCAAAGGATGTACTTAACAGACGAAAAAAATCGGATATAACTGGCTGGATCGAACATAGTAATTTACAAAACTTATTAAAATATTTCCCAACGTATAAAGAATTATTTTTATTTAAAGGTGGATAGATAGAAAAAAAAATCACGGTTAATCCTCAAAGGATTTCAGTAACGTGTATAACAGCCTTGAAGAGATGACGTCGAATCTACGTTAAGTGATCATTTTCTGTACGAAACTCATAACGCACATTTAACACAAAAAAAAAAATTCAGAATTTAAAATTTATGTTAAATTAAAATAGCTAATTAATCCTATCTAAATTTTTCAACATTCCTACCTTCAAATAAAAATTTTTAACTACAATATAATAATAATAATCATCATCATATTAGAATACAGTAACTAAAAAAATTACCTAGTTAATGCATAAATTTGGAAAGAGCACGATAACATATAGTACAAGAGAACTGTATATAAAAATATTTCTTTATTAATTTAAACATACCTAATGAAAATTGTTGAAATACTAAAGAAATAAAATCTGAAGAATAAGTTTAGAAAATATTTAATTAATATATATAAATTTATACGAAAATCTGTTAAAGTGAAATTCGATAAGTCACGTTTGTTTTATCGATAAAAAAAATGAAACAGCAGCAGGAAACACGTGAACACAAAAATCACACCAAATTAATCCCCATTATCAATACACACTACAATCGAGATATAAATAGTTTTATCCGTAACATTTTTCTCACCGATAAGAAGATAATAGAATGTTACGTTCTTTGTAATTAGTAACAGATGTAAATTTATATCACAGGATAATTACGGATTGGCTCCACCATGCAAGTTTGGATGGGTGACGTCACCAAATATCCATCTCTTAGCTTACTTTGTTTGTTTACGGTTTCAAACAGCCGTAACCAGACTCAACACGTCACATCATGCAAAATCACGCTTTATTTATTAAATCCGACTCCACGATTAATACTGATTAATGATCGACTCAACGGAGATAATTCACTCAAACTGATGATTTTAAACGGCTTTAGTATCTTAACACTTAATTAAATCGTTATAAATATGAATTAACATTATAAAAAAGAGTTGCTTTCGGAATCAAAAGAATAACTTTAAAGCTAAACCAAAAAACCAGACGACAATTGTCAACAGATTAGGGTTAATTCTGACAGACTTACTTTATCAATTAACGGTGGACTGGTAGCTTATCCTTCTTCTAAAAGCCAACATTCGCGTAATAAACACTTTAAATAGTTGGATAAAAGCGAAATTCGAGCTTGCTTTCGATTTACCATCAACGTCCTTTCGTCTACAAAATGATCTTTTGCTTTTCAATTCAACCTCCACTCGGTCCGTGACGTCACGCAAAACATTCCATAAGCCGATGGATGATTGGTCGGCAATTTCGTAACTAACAACCTTTTTTTTAAACCCGTCTCGTTCGTCGCCCTTTTTGTATTTTCATTACGTATAAAAACGTGAAAAGTATTAATATATTTTTAAAGATAGTAAATATTTTAATTTTCGATTTAACCCGAAAAAGAAAATTTAATTATAATTAAATATCGCGATTGACAAAATTTTAAACGGTTAATACATTTTAATAAATAGTATTAATAATATTATTATTTTTATATTGTAATAATTATAATATATCCATTTTGAACAAATTTATAACTTAGTTAATCTCGAAGCGGAGAACTGGCCGTGACGTGCTGTGGAGAGAAATTACGCAGTTTAGCGAATTTCGATAAACGATTGGTCAATAATATATTAAATTTATATAAATTTTAAGTTTGTTATATAATAAGCAATGTTTATTAATTATTCTCTCGAATAATAAGTTTGAGGGAGGTAGATAATTAGTGGTAATTATGGAAGATGGCGCGTTATGTTTATATTAGTCGGGTATTAGAGAAGTGCTAAGCCTAACCCGGGACGAAGAGTGAAAACACGCATTTCGTTAATCGATTTCGAGGAAGGAATGCAACTAAAGTTAACAATAATGCCGAATGTGGTTTACACGTAAAAAGCGATTTAGTAAAAGGTGAATACATTTTCGTACAATATATCTTCATCGTACAGATCGAATCTTATTCGTAGCTCATTAATCAAACAAAACAAGATGCTCGCCTTTCATTACGCTCTTAGTTCAAAACACGATCAATCTAACTCCATTTATATACTTTTGACCATTAAAAACGACGATTAAAAAAAAAGGCAACGAAAGTTTATTTAAATCGGATATTCGGATTTCGATCATTTATTCCTCTTTTTTCTTCTTCTCTACATATTTTCAGATTATTAACTTAACTTTTCGATACAAAAGTTTATTATTGATTTAATTGTAAATTAATAACCATTTCTGTTCATTTGTAAACATTTAATGATATTCATTTGTCATTTTTTTTTTGGATGAGGAAGTTGTTTATATAAAACATTGATTTATCATTAAAAACAAAATTTGGAAGTTTAATTTAATATATTGCATGCTGTTATATCTGGATGATAACATTAAATATGTAAAAATTATGTCTAAATTAATTAATTTCTTATGGATTTATTCTAAGATATTTGAAGTTTTATTTGTAAACTGATGTGTTTTTATTGTGTGAATTTTAGTAATGATCTTTCCAAATGTTAAAAACAGCACCTTAGATCAATGAATATATTATAAAACTATCAATAAATTGGTGAATTTATCAAAATAACAACTAAAGACAAAACGTTGATTGAGCTGCATTTAATATTTTTAGGATTCCGGTGTCGATGTTTTCTTTCGTACTGGCTTGTCTTTGTTTATGTATGTAACGAAATGAATTTAGAATAGATTATAGATTGTAAAGCGGCATCGTTATTTACATAAATTTAACATTGCACCTCTATGTAATAACGTTCAAACTAGAGTGTCCCCGTCGATTACTATGGAATGGTTACTTTGTTTTCTTCTTTTATTTGCTTGTGATGGTCTTCTATGAAACAAAAGAAGCAGAATGTTCAAACTATGTATATGATCCATTTTAGTTTTGTTTTTATATACAGAGAACAGTTTTACAATAATAAAGTCAACTTTTTTTGTTTTTTCTAGATTGCATTGTATTCTGATAAAGATCAGAATTCGTTCATTGAACTATTATAAAATTATTTATTTTTCCTGACAAAATTGTTCTTATTCTTCAAATGGATGCATGAATATCAAAAATGATTTTCAGTGGAATAAATCTTGATTTATTTCTTTAGAATAATTTTTTTTTGTTTTTTTTATTTTAATTTTTCCTGATTAATGCTAAAGTAAACATTATTTAAGTGTTTATTTTAGCATTAATGATGTATTGAAATTTTTAAAATGCATAATAAAATGCTACGAAATATGGCACCATCTTTATGATAAAATCTGCTTAATTAAATATATTAAGTTTATTTTAAAAACACTTTTTATCAGTTTGATCAATTTGTCCATTCAAAAGTTGAAGATGAGCAAACTGTAATTGAAAGTGCTTCTTAAAAGCACTTTCAATTACATCTTATTATCTAGTATTGCAATTATGCAGTTTTATTTTTATGAAAGGTAATGTTTAAGTAATAAATCTAGATTTTATTCAGCTGAAAATCATTTTGGTTATGCATTTGTTCTAATATTGATCTTCATATATATCAATTTCTGAGTTAAAATAGCTTAACAATCACAGATGACAAATATTTTTAACTTCATTCTCGTATAAGAGGCTGTCCATAAATTACGTCCTCATTTTTCTTCAAATTTTTACCCCTCTCCCATTGTCCCAGTTTCCATAACTCATTCCCCTTTGGACATCCAACAAAACTCAAATCCCCACAAAACTTTAACACTATATGAATAATAAAATGCATAAACTATAAAATTTAATGAAAAAAATGGATGTCCATTGAAGTTCAACCCCTTCCTCCCCTCTGACTTGTTGTAATCCCTTTTCTCCCTTCCTGTGTGGATGTCATTTATGGACATCCCCTGAGTGAAAAACACTTTTTTAAAAAGCTTTATAATATCCAGATTAAACATTTGTTCTAGATAATATTGTGACTGATGTTTTATTGGAATTACTCAGTCTCAATTTAAGAATCAAGGCATTATTGCTAGAAAATGTAACCGATAAAGTTGATTCTTAGCTTACTAACATAATTAAAATATTTTAGGTCATGTTATTTCACTTTAAACATATGTTTTTAAGAATATAACTAACAGAAAATATTATCATTGTAGTTATCTGAAATCCAGTAAAACATATGAACCAGTTCAAGAACTTTATTACAGTAAAACCTGTGTAAGCCAAAATTGATAGTAACAATATTTTTTCTGGTTTGGCAGGTTTCCATTTTATTCAGGTTCTGCTATGGACATGTGATATTGTAAATTATTTTGAAATGTCAATTATCAATTACATTCAATCAAGCTATTACTACATTGTGTTAATTTTTCATCACATAAAATAGCAAAAAACAGTAAATTCTATGTTTATTATTTTATATGTTTGGTTTGTAGAAGTACTTGATTTTATTGATTTTAGTGTTCAATAACTTAGGTACAAATTATTTCACATATCTTGATCAGGTGATGTGTGGTACTCAGTTAGGTTCTGGAAGATTTTAAAAATTCCAGAGCCTCTTTGGTAATGCGTAGTGAGCCTTGTCATCAATAATCCATTCTCTTCACTAAGTAAATAGACTGATCCCTGCTACTCCACATTTTTATAATCCATCCAAGATTCCTGAAACAAGCTTGGCTGGGCTGTAACTGAATTTTTTATTTTAAAATTGAGCAATTTAAGCATGTGAAATCTTATCAAGTTTCTCAGTATTTTTTATGATTTTACAATGATTTGACAAAATGATTTGTGTACTTTTTAAAAATTTTTGTAAACTGAAGAAAAGTTATATTGTTTTTTTCATATACAAATTCATGCAGAATATTTAATAAATTAATGACTTTTATTCTCAATTATTTCAAAACAAAAAAAGACACACTTTGATTAATATTGCATAAATATTTTTGAAGCTTTACATTAATATAGACACCACTCTACACTAGGATATATGTACAACAGATACAGAACCAACTTCTGGTGCATATAATACTAAAAAGGAACATTGTACAAGAACTACAAACAAAACTGAAAACAGTTTGATAGAACAGCTTTAAAACAATTGTGTAGGCAATGTATCTAATAAAAATATTTGGCCCTTTGATTTAACTTACAAGAATATCTATATGTTCATTCATTATTTTAAACTAATAATATCTAGTGAATAATTTTCTTATATGCATTAAATCTACATGGTGCCAGCCTGTCAGCCATGTAGTAAAGTATCTACCTACAAGAGACTTAAGCTGACACCTATTGCTATGATTTTTCATTGGCTTTAATCTCCATCCTTCATTTATGCTGGCCGAACCCACTGTGAATCAGATCTGCTTGTAGTCGATAAAACAAGAAACCAGAATATTAATACGCAATAAGTTCTGCAACTTATTGTGTATTAATGTGTTACATCAACAAATCCACTTTTAACTGATATGTGCTTACTCCTAAATATATTAGGTACATAATGGATATAATTACAGTAATACCTTGACTTACGCAAACCCGGAGTTACGTGATTTTCAAATCTCGTCGATTTGTCTTTTGTTTGAGCACCATACAACTCTTGATTACTCACTCCCCCACACTATTGTTCAGCTTACATGTTTGGACGTATTTCGCAGAATCAACACATAGCTACAATTTATTTTGTGTTATTTATTTCTGTGTTTGTTATATCTACAGAGACTTGAGAGACTCTATGTGGTGATTTCTTGTAACCTTGAATGAATTAAAAGGTGAGATAAGATTAATGAGAACATTTATTAGCTTACATACATGCCACTTGTATTTTACACAAATTGTGAAATTATACCTCGACTTACACGGTTATCGCTCGGTCCCACCTATTGCGTAAGTTCGGGTTATTACTGTATATTAAATATTAATATGAAATAAGGCATTTGAAAATACTAATTTTAATATACTTGCTATAAATAATAATTAGGCAAATATCAAATTGGTTGCTGTACTTTCATAAAATTTTCATAAACTTATTCAATTTGAGTTAATATAAAAAAGAAGATAAACACTGCACATACAACCAATATCCAGCAAGAAGAAACTACAAGAAAACAAATGTTTTCATCTGTGTTTAATGGGAATAGTCATGCTAACTACTGAGTTATATGTGCAGTGTTTATTAATTAATGTATGACAAATTTAGAGTAATTGAATTTATAAAAAGAAGATAAGTGAAAATTAAAATAAATTTTAATAACTATTTAGTTTATAAAACTCAAAGCTTTATAAATTAAATAATT